TTAAAGCCCCGTGAATGTGAAATTACTAAACTTTTTAGTTCTTTGAAGTTGGCTTTTACAATGTTAAAAGTCAAGTTTCGTTAGCCTTCTTAAACTACTGGCCGAAAACCATAAACCAAGGCATAATATTCTCCACGCTGGGTAGGCGCAGACACGATAATGTTGCATTGGTGATTAAGGTCCCCGTCTGTTCATAAAGTTGTTCAAACGATCGCTATCTAGAAATCGAATTCTATCTAGAAAGCATTATTATGACAGAAAATAAATTTCAAATTCGTGTGACATAATAATACCCTCCTCAAAATTTTGAATATTTTCAACGAAGCATTAAAAATGTATCCGTACTACAACACGTCTTTCATCTTAAGAATTTACCTAAGGAAATTAAGGAAAGTCAATTTCCTTTGATAAATTCTTCAAAATCAATCTAAAAAGCTTTTAGCAATGTTTCATTCGGTAAGTCGGATCTGTTTTATTCTTTAAGGTGTTACATGCCGCTGTGTTCTTTTCTCGCGAAACTCGAGCCATTTTTCCATGTTATTGGATATATTGAGTCTCCTTATCGCTTTTCTAGTATTGTTCGTCTTGTTTACTTGTTTGTACAGAATTCGTCGAGTAAAAGAGCAAAACACTTAACTAAAAATGACGATTCTAAAATGTATCGATTATGGTTGGGAGTTGGGAAGCTGCTGTAGTTTTGGTTCATCTTTTTAAATATTTCTTTTATTGCTGCTTTCGCTTATAGATTATTATAAAAACATGAGGTGAAACAAATAATCACATTATGCAGTTACAACATATCTTTGGCAACTTCAGATCGGAGAGTCTATTTCTAGGTGTCAAGTATAGGAAGCTATTTATACACTTATGACAAAATAGTTTTCTATACTTTTTGTGCGTCAAGTTTTGATTTTACCTTTTAGAGTTACACGGCTTTTGGACGGCATGTGATAGGATGTTTTCAATAAATACAACTGTTATGTAGTGCCAAAATGGCGCTGTTTATCAAGTTATCATTGATCATTATATTATTAAATATATCAATCCTATTATGGACTAATTTTAATTGTAATACTACGAGATACAACGAATACATGCAAAATACTTTATACATTTCATTATAAAAACTAAAAAATCATTTTAACTTTAATAGGTCTTAGACTTTGACTTTAAAAAATTCCTGTATCTTTTTTTAGTTAAATGTGACAAACGAGCATATAGTTCACCTGTTGTGACTCATGTAAGCATCTTCATCTACTTGTCGGCTGAGAATCAAAATGATCTTCATTTTGATCCTTAGTTTTTTGTGTTGTCATCCCTGGTAATTAAGATGGAATGCTTCGTTTGCAGTAAAAAGGGTCTCTAGCTCTCTACACTCACCTCACACAGTATGACTCTATCACGAATAAATAATGCAAAATAAACATTCACTAATTATTACTCATGTTAATACATTGTAACAATTCTTCGATAATTTATTACAATAGATAATATATCTCAAAATTTCTTTCAAAATAGCTTATGTTGATAGCTAGCACTCAACGAAGCAGGAAATACATATGTTAATGTTTGGGGATATCTTTATCGTTTTTCGACATGGGATTACCGCAGGTTACGCAAGATAGAGTAACATAATATTTAATAAAACTAATTGTTGGGCAATGGGTTAAAATACATCAAATACGTTGAAATTATCGCCGTATAATGTATATATAATGCATATATGTATATACAAATAATATTGATAGATAAGTAGTTTTACATTTGCCGATGTTGTCACAGCAAACGTATCAGTCGAACCTCGTGACCCCGGCGAGGATAAGCAAACATCGCTCCGGCAGTATCAGTGCTCAAAGCCAGGTAATTTTATTGACTTATAATTTATTATTTTTCATCGTCACCTCATGAAAGTCCTCTACTGAACACAGGCGTCTTTCCGTTGAACCCCCCTCCCCATACACTTACTTGTAGGACATACAATTATTTACTCTGTGGAACATGGAGCTCTCAAAAGTCGTCTTTTTTTCTAGGATTTGTGTTTTTAATCATCACGCTTGGCAGGCACATTAACTTTTGTAATGCCAGACGGCTTTCAGCTTTGATGCTGCTCCTCGTCGCCAGTCTCGGTATTTTAACACTTTAGGGCCTATTCTTATTATAACGCCGTTCACAGTTCGTTCTCTATAAAATATTATCAAGTAAAAAATATGTGTGTGCATTTATACTATCCGTAACAGTCAAGTTTCGCTCGAATCCCATTCCAATAATATAATAAATCAGACCGAGATCGGCAAATTAGGATCGGCCCTTACTATCCGATTTTTCGACACAATAGTAGGACAATAGCAATGAACTATACGTTGGTACACGGACAGGAAATGGGTTAAGACTGGTTAAAATGATTTTAATACCGCCGTATATTGAAAGCTATGAAAAATTGTGGTATTTCCCACAGTGATATTTTACAACGATAACGGGACGTAATGTAGTATAGATTCTCTTATCCACTATTAAATAATTCGTTATTATACAGGTATTAGAAAGTCCAGTATCACTGCGACCTGTAAGATCTATTGTGATCGCTACTATGGCTATAGGTCACTGCTACGCCCTATAACTTCAATGAATTGAATGAGTTGCTTAGCTGTGAGCGATGCCACTTCTTCTGGACTAAGTACATAGTTTCCCAGATGAGTGTTACGTTCGCGCAGAACAGTACCTACACGTTACCTATACGTTACCCGGGTAGAGTAAATACATTCATGGGTATAAGTATAATAAAATTAATTTGTCGTTGGTTTATCTCTATAACAATTTTGCTGCTTAGAGAACTCTTGCATCATCGCTTTTAAATTTTACTTTACTGTTATCTAAGTGACGTTATAAAAATAGGATATCAGGGGATTTTCTTGGCGGTAAATTTTATTCTTACGAACTAAATGTTTATAGTTACTTAGTACAGATAAGAAACGCATTCGATGAACCTCATTTGAATAACTCTTATTAACTGGTTCAGTAAAAGCTACGTTTAATAGATGTAAACGAATTGGGAAATAATGTAATTCTTAAATTAAAATGTGTAAAAATAAGAAGGCTGTAGACATAAGTTGTCTATATGTGTATGTAAATATTACATGATTGTCTGTTACTATAGACATTCTCAACATATGAACAGACTTTTTAATAAATTATGAGTAAAATTAACAAAATGAGTAGGTATGTTTTTTTGCTTATTTAAGTTTTTTATCAAGAAATGCGACGCTTTATCTTACGACTTAATCAATACATATTGCACTTACGACGCCCATTCAAAAAGTGCATACATACTTATTTAAAAATAAAGAAAGCACCCAGTTTAAATTTACATTACTTGTCTATAATGAAGAAGTGTAATCTATTATTTACATATTTATGAATTATTTAAAGGTTAATTGTAGGGCTTAGTATATACAATATAAATTATTAATTTTGACTGGCCCTTTGTCTTTCGTTACAGCCTATATACGTCCCACCACTGGGCACAGTAAAGTAAAGTAAAGTTACAACCTATATACGTCCCACTGCTGGGCACAGGCCTCCCCTCATTTCTGAGAGGGTTTTAGGGCAAGGAAGTGTCCGCCGCGCTGCCTCAATGCGTGTTGGCAAACTTCACATGTTTTCGAAATATTGTTTTTTCTTATTCCTCAAACATGCAGGTTTCCTCACGATATTTTCGTTCATCGCCGAGCATGTGGTAAATCAGCACTTAAAATTGCAATTAATAATTTCATTTGTGCCGGTAGGGATCGAACCCGGGTTACTCGCGTTCTGTTATATTTACAGCGAGCGTTAATCATCTGAGCTACCACGGCTCTTACTGGGCACAGGCCTCCTCTCATTTCTGAGATGGTTTTTATGGCAAGGAAATGTCCGCCGCGCTGCCCCAGTACGTGTTGGCGAACTTTATTCCTTCACCGCTGAGCTTCTTTAATAAAGTATTACAGTCTTCATGCGCTACAATCTAATCATCGTCACTCAATAACCAACAGGTGAATTGAGTGCTTGTTTGTCATCATAATGCACATTTATAATAAGATTGAAAAATAAAACGACTTTTCTCCTTAATTGTTACCATTTTACTCTTAAAACTATATGCAACATTACACTCCATACTAATTTAATTTTATATTTCTCTATTTTTGCATAGTATTTATTTAACAATTTTGTGTACTTTTCAGAGATCTAATACATCTAACAAGATATCGTCAACAGTGTTCACGCCACCAACACCAGAGTCGGCCGGGTACACCAATTTTTTAAAGAATCTCTAATGGTATTTGAAATAATCGTGATGACGCCTAGCGATGCTGATGCGAATGATATTTATCATTTTATATATCCCTCACCATCATTATCATCAGCCTGCGGCAGTTCACAGCTGGACATAGGCCTTTGCTAAGTCGCGCCACTTAACCCGATCTTCGACCTCACGCATTCAGTTGCTGCCAGCCACTTTGTGCATATCAAACTGCGTTTACCAAAACGTGGTAATCGCTCTATGACACGTGTACTCCAATGGTTATAACTTCTGCGAAAGATGTGACGAGCCCATTCCCATTTCTACTTGCAAATACGGAAGGCTATATCGTGTATATTCCCTCGTATATCAGCTGTCGCAGTTTTTATATGGTCAGTATACTATCCTACCTAATAAAAATAATACATATAAGAAAACTTCAAATGGCGATCATTTTGATGATCAAAAAGTAACTGCTTGTTTTAATTTAGTATTTTTACATTCATTTTATTGCATATTTCATTTATTAATTTAAAAATATATGTATAGTAAAGTAATCAAAGAGATTTAAATGTTTATTACTACTACTCAAATATCTTTGAATGTAATATAAATACAATTTACGTCATTGCATGAATTTTTTTTACCTTAAAAAATTGTTTTCTTAAATATAATAACATAAGATACTATTATTATAGCAGCACATAGTATAGAACTATTCTATTATAGTAAGAAATCATAGAATTTTTTTATAATTGCTATTATTTAACACTTTTTAATAATAACTATTTTCTCCTTTAGTCAACCAAATCTAAGAAATACGTTTTGACGTTTCACATTAATTATTCCGCAATAAGTTTGCACAAGCGTACTCTCACGATTTAAAATAACCTTTTACGTAAATCCGAAGAATTACGAAGTTATCTATATTTCATTACAACGTGTATAGTTTTTGATCACTAATTTAAATTTAAATTTTTCAACCAATGCAAAATATTTAAAAATAACCTGTATTTTTTTACAATGACGTCGTTTTAATGATATGTCGTTATGTATATTACCGTGGTGTTTGGATGATTCAAATTCATTGTTATGCGAATAATCGGAAAAATATTCAAATAATCGGTAAAAAATTCAAATAATCGAATCATTAATTTTTTTAATGTATTATTTGTTTAATTTAATTTTTATTTCGAAAATTCCTTAAATTACATGAATCATGAATAAAACAATTTTATTTTTTTAAGTTGCAAAGTAAATTTGTGTAGGCAAAAAACTCATAGGCAAGGCCGTGCTAAGATAACTACTACATAATTTCAATATCACTCCATTTCGGTACTAGTTACTTCACTCCACAGAGTCAGTAATTCATTCTTGAGGCGATGTAGGTATACGCTTTTACAACAAAATCCCAGAAAATATACAAAATTTGAAGTAAGTACAAAGTTCAAAAACTTTATTAAACTAAGTTTGTATAAAAAGGGTTATTTTAATATTAAGGAATTTATGGATGATAATAACCCCAGGGAAAGGTGATCGCTACCAAGCTATTACTAATTTGTTTTGTCTTGTAGATTGTGACGCATGATTGTAAGCTCTATAGTTTTTTTTAAAGTAGTCTTGTTGGGTTTCTTGCTGGTTCTTCCCAGGACAGACGTTTTATTGCAAACCAGTGGTAAATGAAAAAAGTGCCTTTCAATAAGTAATATTCATAATCTATATAAAAAAAAGTTTCGGTTTCTGTTTCGAGAGCTTACTGTGTGTAATTTTGTGATTTTGTGTATGTGTTCTTATTTTGTGACTCGGCTTTAAATTTTTGGGCTGTTTCTTCTATATTCGTTGAAGCATGTGCTCACGTCACAATAGATGATTGGGAAAAGTGGTAGAAAAACAAAACAAATTATTATGGATAGCTTTGAAAGAGACATTAATGTTGACTGCATTTTTGAAAATTAAATAATAGTTAATATAAACGACATCTCTACTAGTTGTACTGAAAGTCATTAAATAAATTTATTTTTAAACTAGTTTCAATCTCAAATTTTTATCACTGTGCCTCTTGAAATAAGCAGTGACAACTAATACAAAGAAACTGATAAATCTTGTGTTTTAATTTATCCGTTTTTAATTTATTCTGGTATTGTTCAAACCAAACTGCAAATGATTAGCAACTCTAAATAATCGATATCGATTTTTTCAAGAATCGAATATTGTACGTTCCCATTTTTTGGTTGGCATGCTTGGTGCAATAAGTCTGACAGCTCTCAAAATGTATTTCTTAGATTCGGTTGACTATAACTGTCATTTCATTTTCAAATAGTTCAATTAGTATTTTTAACGTATATATATACAGTACCCGGATGACCGAGCTTTGCTCGGTTTTTTTTGAAATTGCATTTAGATACAAATTACATACTGATGAATAATATTTTTTGATGTTATTGACATAATAGAAAAAACTGATCTGGTTATTTGAATAAAAATTAATGAGTGCAATTAGTTTAATTAAAATTTTCGTATTTTTAAAAAATACTAAAAAAAGGGCTCGAAATAACAGATTTTCTCACAAAAGAAGGTAACTTGAAAAAAAAGGAAAAAATTGAACCGAAGACGGGACGCGAACCAAGGCATTACGATTTCGCGATTGCTCGATAGCCACTTGAGCTGTTACGATCATTAACACAGTGTCAAAATTTACCTTTTTATATTGTAGTAGTTTTTCATTGCCTGAAAACACGGGCCAAAAGACTTTTCTAAAAATAAATTCTAGCTAGATCGATTTATTGCCCCCGAAACTCCCTGGACACTAAATTTTTTGAAAATCGTTGGAGCTGTTTCCGAGATTCCGATTTTTATATACCTACATATATATATATATATATATATATATATATATATATATATATATATATATATATATATATATATACAAGAATTGCTCGTTTAAAGGTATAGGATAAAGGTCTTTGTGGCGCCACATTATTCGTAAATCGAATCGAATCGTCGCCTTATCAAAAAGTGGTAGAGATCATCTAATTTAAAATTGCTTCTTCTAACTTCTGAATCTATATGTATAACGTCTAAATTTAAAAGATTTTTAATTTGTCCATTGTTTCTATTATAGTGAGATAAGTAACGAGTCGGGCTATAATTCAAGCAGTCCGATCCATGTTCCAACCAAGTGCTGTATACTTCAAGGCCTACACTGGAGGAAGTTTCTTTGATAAGGTTTTTTATTATTACATTATTCGATAAATTCTAATTTAAGTTAATTTTGAAAATGTTGTTAAGTAGCTTTTCAAATGAATTCGTACAATTTTGTTATTAATTAAATACATTACAGATTTGCATGTATTTATTATTGTTTCTTTGATTTCAATAAAAAGAGTTCCTTGTTATTTGTGTTTTATTTATATTGACGATCTCAGGATGTGATCAGAACCACTTATTTGCAGGTTCTTGCTTCAAAAATTAGGCTACAATAATTTAGAATAACTTTCTAATTATTGGTTTTTCAGTTTAGTTGCGTTGCCTATGATATTTTATTATTAAATTAAACAGATATAGAGACGGCCGGACTTTGCCAGGATAGAATCTATTAATGTAGCGTTATTAAGATTTAAGATAGATTTCCTACGTAGTAGAGTATGCTGCAGCTATATTAGTATTATAGTTGTAGCACGGACGGGTTGTCGCGACTGGGGAACGACCACGCTCTCACAGAATACCAGCGTAAAACAGCAGCTTAACGCTGCTGTGTTTCGTATGGTGAGTGTAGAGAACCGGAGACCATTTTTACTGGAAAATAGCATTCCATTCCAGACAACCAGCAGGTGGACTGTGTGGTCGTTTGTCACCCATATACTATAAAAAATGGTCAAAGATCATTTATGTTTTTATAAATTTTTTTCAATAAAAAAATCCTTAACTTTTTAATATAATATATAGCCTTGATCCCTCTCGAAACTGCTCTCTATTTGTCATTCAAGCTAGTCTACAACTAGACAACTAGTCTAATCGGTAATTAAAAATAAGTTAAAAGTATATAGTTTAATTGTTGAAATATAAACTTGCTGTTAGGCTCTCTCTCTCCATTCTACTGATGCGTTCGAAAATTTTTTTTTGTTTCATTATACTTTTTTTTTGTAGATGTTCTTTACGTCAGATTTTGAATTCCCTAATCAGTTCAACCATTCCGAAGATTAGCTGGGACAGACAGACAATTTTTTTTAAATTGTTATTTATTTACTTGTAATTTCAAACAGATATACACTTCAATTTTGTTTATATTCAATTTAATTTCAATTTATATTTATAGATTATACTAGGGGTAACTTTTCTGCTAGAATTGTCTGGATTGCTTTCAATCCTCTCCCCTCTCTCCTCTCTTACTGCTTCCAAACTGCAGAGCACCCGCTGATCGGTTCCAGTTTAAAAGGCAAGAGAACCAGTGTTTTAATGCTATATGAGGAATTTTATCTTAGTCAGGGTTGAAAAGGTATTTTCTTTGATAGAAATCGGTTGCAGATGCCCATGGATTGCAAAAGTTACCAAGGTGGTTTTGTAGCTCATTTTTGCTCTCTCATGAAAAAGTTGAATTAGCTATAGATAAGTAAGAACATGTGAATGCCTCGTGCGATGTAATTTTGACAGAGTGAACCAGGTGAGTTTGGAAATTGCAGAAGAAGTGGTTTCTCTCATCGTGACCGTTATAACCTATTAAAAGTTCAATGCTGTAAATAAGCTGTACAAAGGTGATAATTGCCATAGTGGCCACTATAGTTAAGCGGTATATAAGGGAATGCTGCCCATCTCCTATTTTGCGCCTGCGCTCCCCTTTCCCCAAGGGGTCAGCTACGATATGACTAAAAGGCCTTCCCAGGCCAAAGCTAGTCCCAGGTGGTGTTTAGTGGGTAGGCACTCTAGGTTCTACAATGAGTCCCATATAACGACGCAGTCGGCTGCATGATATGCTTAAAGCATTCTCCACCTCCCTCCCCCACCTCCCGGAGCGTAGCTTTTTACTTTACTTCTGGGTGCAAAAAATATCTCCTGTTCCGATTCATAGGACGATATGGGGTAATGGATACTTCGACGGCCACAGCTAACACAAATAAGCTTAATTTAAAAATGATAAAATTGAAACATTATAATTGTATTCGAAAAATTTATTCGGTCAGTTGTATTAAATCATGAGTTGTAGTTTGTTTCGTGAGTTAACGATGTATGGGCAGTATGCCTTTATTCTGTTGGTAACCGCCACTCGCCTCTTGATGGCCATGTACAGAATGAGCACCCAAATTGTTGAATTTCTCCAACTGTTCGGCGCCTCCTTTGTAACCTTTCTGAAGAAATTCACCCTGAAAAAAGGAATATTGTTTAAGATTAAACACGATACAGAAACATGAAGATTGCTTTGTCTGGTGGCGTCATCCATCACCGATCCAATCCGTCATTATCATTCCACGGGTGTTGTAAGAGGTGACTCGCCATGCCAATGCCAAAAGACCTTATAACTGATGGATGGCATTATAAACATCTCATTTAAGCAAATCGTAGAAACCCAGACCGACGATAGGAAACTGCGTTAAAAGTACGAAAAGTCTACGACAGCGACCGCCAGTTCACCTGCCCTGTATTGCTACCGGACAATATTTGACTATGGCTACAGCTTTTATGAAGTCACTAACTACCTTCTACTCAGAAGCCGGGGGTCATTATTGTTCAACTTATGTACTCTTAAAACAGATGCATTCGTTTGTGCACGTCGAAACGTTTATGTAATTAAAAAAAGTCCAATACCAGACATGGGCCCCCCCATGTCTGGTATTGGACTTTTAAAACTATTATTATTTATTTAATATAATTATACCACAAAACTTAAGAGGCGGATTGGCGTTCTCAGCTTTTCCGTCGTCTAATGATATGGAACATTCTTTAATCGCCTCTTAATAAAACACTCAAGGGGACAATATTAGGCGATGACCTTTCTAACGCTGCCGCTACATGGTTAAGATAATTTAAGTTTTTGTGTTGCGGGCTGCGGGTCGGTAGTGCAGTGGTTAAGCGTTTGGCCACGGCATTTCGGGGATGCGGGGTCGAATCCCGTATGTAGAATTATTTTTAAGGCTTACAATTAATGGATTTGGGTCTGCATGTTTTCCTATGTACATTTTGTATGTAAACACCGCGATACACGTGAAAATGATAATAACTCTATATAAAAAAAACCCAACCCAAGCCATAACTTTGGCAAATACGAGATATGAGGGGAGGCCTATGTTCAGCAGTGTAATTTAGTATACTGTAACGGTAACGGTAAAAAATCCAGTGGACACGGGCGCAATCGCTACTCAACTCAACCAATAATACCAATTAATGGTGACGTTACAGAATCTATTTCAACATCCAGTTCGCGGTTATCGCAAAAGTCTAATGGTCCCCACACACGGTCAGTTCAACTGATCATTCCAACTGATCAGTTCAAAGTAAAACTGTTGATATTCTTTAAAATATTGGATTTTCGATATATCGATAAATAAACTTATATATAAAACTACGATATTGATATATTTATAATAATCGATATATCGAAAATTCAATATTTTAAAAAATATCAACAGTTTCAGTTTGAACTGATCAGTTGAACTGACCGTGTGTGGCCTCCATAAGAGGGAACCAGAGAACTTTTCACATAACATTTCTCATGCTGTATTCTGGCATCTCACAGATAGTGGAGGTAAAGGCATAAATTAGAGTACAAATGTTAATGTTTATCAATTTTTTTTTTTAATTTTTACGTGGTAAGACCACAATGCAACTATATTATGTTTTCAGCACGAATAAGTCGGCTGGACCGGGAAAGGACCACGTTCTCACAGTATATTAGCGGCTTAATGCTGCTGTATTTCATATGTTGAGTGTAGATAACCAGATACTCTTTTCCTAGTATCGTAGCATTTTGCTTTAGACTTCATGGCTGACAGCATATATACAGTTTGATTCCTAATTAGGGATAGATGTAGTTGTCTATGAACTACAGCATCCACTCACCATCATGTGGACTGTGTGCTCGTTTGTCACCCTAATTCTACAAAATAACTTACCTTATTAGCCTTAGAATCATCAACTTTATGTTCAGAAACGTGATGCCCTTCCTTTCCTTGAGAATTGGCATCCAGGATCTTTTCTTCATGAGCACCCTTGAAACCTTGTTGTGACTTCTCCCCAAAGGAACCAGCATTCTGTCCCGCGATCTTGTGATCAGCTTCGTCATGAGCCTCGTCATAGAAGCTTTCTGATTTCTCTTCTTCGTTTTTACTGCTCGATGATTTGAAGCCTTTGCTTACGTGACCTTTCTTGTGACTTTTAGCTTTTTTGATCTGCTCCTCGTTTGCACCTAAATGTTAATATTAAATGCTTTTTATTCTGTATTTGTTTATTTAAAAAAAAGTAAACTTACAGCCTATATACGTCCCACTGCTGGGCACAGGCCTCCGTTCATTTCTGAGAGGGTTTTAGGGTAAGGAATTTTCCGCCCTGCCCCAACGCGTGCTGGCGAACTTCACATGTCTTCGAAATATTTTTTCTTCTTATTTCTCTGATATGCAGGCTTCCTCATGATTTTTTCATTCACCGCCGTACACGTGGTAAATCAGCACTTAAAATTGCAATTAACAATTTCATTGGTGCCGCCGGGGGTCGAACCCGGTTTGCTCGCGTACTGTGAAATTTACAGCGAGCGCTAACCATCTGAGCTACCACGCCTCATTGTCTACTTGTTTGTCAATATTTAGCTACAAATTTGTACGGTATTTAATGAACATTTATTACTGTATAATTCCAAAGTAAGTGAACCATTTATCTCTTAGGTATAGCACAGTTAAGGCTTTCTAACCCTATTATCGAGGGATATAGGGAATATAATATAGATAGGGAAACATATACTTTTAATGTACAGTTTTAGCTGTATGTATTCTGTATAACAATGATAATAATTATCTGCGGGGTGTGTTTTGAATCTAGAACTGAAACTGGCTATTGAGCCGTGCATTTGTTCTTATATAAATATATAAAATTTGTAATCTTAATTATTATAGGAGTTCTGCTGGACATTACTCTATATCATTAGTCATATATTATATGAATGGACACATTATTTACACACGTACCAAGTATATTGTAATACGTTGCTTTGTACCAAGTTTAGTCACTGAATTTACGT